TTTTGTTGTTGTTTCCTAATATCATTTTAACCATGTGCTTTGTTGTGGTTCACAGGGAGAAAAAGTGGGACTTTCTCTGGAAATGTGACTTCATGGTATGAAATATATAATTCATTCAACCTTTATTTATACTTTTTTTTTTTTTTATTTGAATTGAATTTGAATTGAATTTTTGTTAATCCCATTGAGCCTCGGGGACTCATTTACAAGAGAGACCTGAATAATATGCTGCTTTTATTTTAAAGGTACATATTGCCAACTATGAATTCAAACATAAAAAAAAGGTTATACGTTTGATAGAGTTTATGCCGGTAGTTTACCAGATATATAGACACATTATTCTGGAACGCAGGTACGCACTCAATGTAAACAAAGGCAGAATCCACAGAAAACCAAGTGGAAGCTTTAGTTACGTGTTTTACCTACATTAGTCAAAGTCAGGGTAGGTGACAAAAAAAATGGTAAGTTTACCGTTCCAGAGTAATCTTTTTATCTGCATGTTTAACTCAACAAATGAGCATAAAAATACGTACCAGTTACCAAAGTTGTTTGACTTCTACCCCAAATGGCTTTTCCGTTGACACCGGCCTATTTATTTATTCACTTTGGCTGTGTTTAAACAATCACACAAAATTTGGTTTACAAGTTTATTAAAAGCACAAAAGAAGTGCAAATTTTGTTTCTTGCTTTGTGACTATTCAGGACATTGCAATGAGCATCTTAAATCTTGTTAAATGTGCTTCAGTTGCACAGACAACACAAAAGAAAGCTTTCAAGAAATGTCTAATAAAAAAGGAAAACTTTGACAACAGTTTAATTTTGAGATGTTGTTGTTTTTATTTTATCGTGTTTGTAGGGACGGCCGAGGGAAGAGGAGCCTTTACCCAGTACCACCGATGTGAAGTTTTTCTCTGAGAAGTACACTACCAACCAAATATTCAGCAGCAGACTGTCCACTCCACTGGGGAGGGAGCTGGCCAGACTGGAAAGGTCCCTTCTTTGGCCTGGAAGCTTTCAACACAAACACAAGACCTCTCTGCACACCAGAACACTAACTGACTGATATGGTCAGTCTATGTGGGCTGGATTATTAAAGACATTAAAAAAATGGAAATTAGGGAAAAGAATGTTATTGTCCTACATCTATGTCACATTTTAATTATAATGTTTTGTTTAAACAGATATTTGATGGTCTAAGAAGGTACCTGAGCTTAGTGAAAGGTTTGATCACCTACTACAAAGATGCCAAAACAAGCAGAAAATAGCTTAAAACTTCAATAAAAAGCAGTTTATATACATTAATGTCTGCATGATGCAAAGTTTGTTTATACTAAAAATGAATACTGAGCAGCATTTATTTGTTGAGTACCTTTGTCATTTTATTTTTGTTATTAAAATTACATTTAAGATGGTGAAATATTGTTATACTGTACTTCAATGCTCTTTGTTTAATTTTAGTCCTCAAACTCCGCTGAAGTTTTTTTTCTTCTATTTTTGTCCCTCTATCTAATTTTCTTAAAATTGTATAGGAAATAAGTTTAGCTCTTTAAAAAATTAAAGCTCAAGAATTCTGCACATTCTTGACACCAAAAACGATATTAAAAGGAGCTGAATAATATTATTTTAAAACATAAGTTCAATAATTGTATTCAGTGGAGTTACATGGTAAATGGACAGTTGTTAAAGTGGTTATTTGTTTTCATAATAAAATATTTTGGCGTTATTTCAATAAGAAAACAGGGATGAAATCACATGTTCTCTCACATTTGAAAAACCGAGGTTGATTTGTAGCCAATCAGGTTCAGAGGATGTTTGCGGAAATGAGGATGAAGCCGACCGACAGGAAACTGTCAAGCTAACATAACAATAAAGGAAGTCATGTTTGGTTGTGTCAAAATAAATTGTAAATCAAAGTATATATTTTAAATGTTACAGTAATAAACTTTTAACTAATTGTATTTACTTTAAGAATTAATATGCTGTTTATTAATTTTAATCTTACTTCGCAACAACGTTTGTTGAGCGCGAAATAATCACGCTTTTGTATTACTTTGAAACTTTAAACCGGAAGTTAAGTCTAAAACCGACTTACTTGATAAAAGTGGCGTCGAAACAGCATCTGGAGCTAGTATTTCTTTTTTAAAAAAGGTTCATTAAATGTAGAAAACAAACTACTTGTGCCTAACTGGTAGATTTTTTTAAGTTAACATTTCTAAACAATGGAGCCCCACATGTTACTGCACGTCGCTAACTTCAGCACGCTGTTTGCGTGCATGGTGCTAAAGTTCCCGCAGATCTTCGTCCTGATGAGAGCCAAACGGACCACGGGAGTCAGCCTCAACAGCCTCGTCCTGGAGCTGATTGGGTGGGTGAACTCCGGCAGGCTCTGAGGGGAGATCATTTTGCATGCTGTGTGTGGGTTTTAAAACCAAAGGGAAGGGGAGCTGCTGCAGATGGGGTGTGTAGTTTTCATGTGATGTCTTCCTGTTACTGTGCACGAGCTCAAATCATCTGCAGCTACAAACAGGGAAATGACAAACCTTATAAAGAAACAGCTGGAGGTTCAACAGTGATGGTGAATCAGTGCAGTGGAGCCAGCTCTTCTGTAACAGCCACAAACTGCTCTCTGTTGGATTAAAACAAGTCTTTGTCAGGCTGTTTGTGAGCAGGCTGTAACTGTACGACCCTTTTCATCTGCTCACCCTAAAACAGCCTGGACAGCCACCAGCTGGCCCATAACATTAAAGTCCCTGACAGCTGAAGTGGAAAACATCCATCAATCTGGGAGATTTCAAACCAACAACAAAGCTGTGAGATGCCACAAGATGCCTCTAGAAGTCTGTTTCGTTGGCAGAAGATGGATCTGCAGCGTTAAAGAAAAAGAGAACCTCGGGGTTTTGGTTGTAAAGAAGCACATAAGCTACAAAATCTTTTCAAAAGGCATTTATTTGTCTTTACTTTAGCAAAATCTGGAATGAATGCAAGCTGCCACTAGTGGACCAAGAGCACCGTACAACCCTGAAAATCTTTGAATGGTCACAGATGTTAAACGAGTGTCTTAATTAGAAGGAAACACTTCACAAAGGAACACACTGCTCTCTAAAAACTAATATCTGAAAGCTCAGTTATAAACTTTATTCCTTCCAGGTTCATTGTTTTCGTAACGTACCAGATGTACTATGACTACCCACCTCCAACATACCTGGAATATCCCATCCTCATCGCTCAAGGTCAGTTGTCACGTTACTTTTTCTTTCAGTGTTTTGTCACTTTTTTGGATCCACAACTGCCAATACACACATTCAAGGTAGAAACATGTGCAGTCCAAAAAAGTGTGTATAACAGGTTTTATTCGTAATGTTTTACTGAAACTCAGACAGTAACCATTGGCTTTTGAAGTAAACCCCACTCAACATGGCCACCACAGCGTATCAACCTGAGCACACACAAAAATGGCTAAAGCTCAGCCTATTTTACAGATATTACGCTAACAATGAATGTTGTAGCTGAGAGTCATTCACAACACACGAGTGTGACATCTTGCATTATTTCATAGGACTGCTTTTGGATCTTAAAATAAACTAGAGAAATTGCATTTCCTGCAAAAGTATGAATACTTATTGCTGAAGAACTTGCTGAAAACCAGCTGAAATTAGCTACAAAAACATGCTGAATTGTAGCTGAAATGAAAGAACAAGCCTTAACTAGCAGAAGAAAGCAGAAAGAATACATTTTTGCTGAATTAGGTATAAATTACCAGAAATTAGCACAAAAATTAGTAAATTAGCTTAAAAAAAGTTAAAATTGGCTACAACAACAAAAAAAAAAAAATAGGTGAAAAGGCAGAAAGAAGCTTAAACTACCAGAAGGAAGTGAAAGAGCTGAAATGAGCTAAAAAAAATGTGGAATTAGCTAAAAAAGCTCAAAGTAGCATAAAACTGCTAAATATTTGCTGAAATAGCAGAAAAGGTTGAAACTAGCAGAATAAAGCTGAAAGGAGCATAACAAGCTGAAATTACCATAAAGATGTTAATTAGGCTGAAAGTAGCAAAAGTTACCATGAAAAACTTGGAATTTATCTGAAAACAGCTGAAATTAGCTAAAATACTAAAAATGTAAATGGAAACGGTAGAACAAGCTTAAATTAGAAGAAGAAAGCATAAGGAGCATGTTTGCCAGTTAGGTTAAAAGAAACAGAAATGAACACAAAAAAGTGGAAATTATCTGAGTGAAGCTGAAATTGCCAACAACAAAAAAATAAAATAAAACAGCTGAAGACCAGCTAAAAAAAAATCAGAAAGAAGTTTAAATTATCAGAAGGAGGTGGAGAAAGCACATTTTTGCTGAATTAGGTTGAAAAAAGTAGAAGTGAGTGCAAAAAATGTGTAATTAGCTGAAAAGGCTAAAATTAGCTAAATAGTAGCTGAAATTGCAGAAAAAGCTGAAACTTGCTTAAATAAGCTGAAAGGAGCACAACAAGCTGACATAAGCAGAAGTTTGAAGCAGCGCAAAAATGTTTTAATTAGCAGAACGAACCTGAAAGGAGCACAAAACGGCTGAAAAAAGCAGCTGAAATTAGCTAAAAACGCTTAAATTTGCACAAGGAAGCAGAAAGAAGCTGAAGCAGAACAAAATGTGAAAGGAGCAGTAAAAGGTTGTAAACACATCTAAAGATTTGAAGGATGTAAACTGAGCTCAGTTCATTTTTCTGAGGAAAAAATGGCCGAAAAGGCTAAATATTTCAAAAAAGCTAAAGTTGCACCAATAGCAAAAGTCATAGCAGGATGGTCTTGAAAGAGCTGAATGTTTTGATATATGATTTATTGAAATAGCTTAAACTGCAGGAAGAGAATCGTGCCGAAAAACGTATGGAAGACAAATGGATCACAATAGTGTGAATGCTTCATAAACGTTCACACTATTACAAACGCCCATCAGTGGTTGCATTTCAAAATAAGGAAACAGGAAAACCTGTGAAGTTCTGAGAAGTTTGCATACTTGAAGTGATTGTGCGTCAGTGGCCCTTGAAATGAAAGTTGAGCCGGGCCTGAAGCGGTGCGGGCTATAACCTGCTTTCTGTCATCAGATGTCATCCTCCTGCTCCTGATTCTTCACTACGATGGCAGCCTGCGGCAGAGCCTCATCTACGCCGTGCTGTATCCTTTCATTCTCCCATTTTAATAGATGTAAAAATGCTCATTCGGCCCTGAAGAAAATCAATGACCCTCGAGCGCTCTGAGTGCAGCGCTTCTGCCTTAACGGACTGCGTTTCAGGTTGTTTGGAGGCTGGAGGCTCCTCACTGTGGAGAGGTGGATCATTGATCTGGCTATGGTAATAAATCAGTTTAAAATCAATTCTGTGTCTCGCAGTAAAGACTTGTCATGTCATCAGTCAGGAGCAATGAGGTGGAGACTCGAGGAGACCTCATCTCACCAGGTGTTTCACAGAAAGGCCTGCTTGCTTAATGGGATGAACATGTCTTTAGGCATTTTGCATTTAAAAAGGGCGAGAGGAGCGATCCCGCAACCCACCTTAAAAGTTTAGGAAACCTTTTTACCGTTTAAACTCGAGTTCACCTGCGCGTTCAGTACCTGCGTGAAGTCTGATCGCCACTCTCTTCTCAGAGCCTGTGCACGTTCATCAGTGCTGCCAGTAAGTTTGCACAGCTGCAGTGCCTCTGGAGCTCTAAGGACGCCGGACAGGTGAGCGCCCTCTCCTGGGCCATAGCCACCTACACCTGTATGGGTGAGTATTAAAGGGATATTTTAGACTTTTATCATCTGCTGTTTAAAGATAACAGAGCATCTGATAAACCTTCGGAGTCGACCAGATTCAAGAGGGCTGCCACATTCAACTGACCTTATTAGGCAGTTTTACAACTATTGATCTAAATTTGGTGCGGTAGTAGCTGAGACTGATCCTCAGTGCATATCCTGACATATCTGTGCAATCGTTCCCAGAACTGGTTGCATCAGATATTTAACACTGGCAGGTGAACTTCAAAAACAAGTCGTGCGCACAATTCTTACACATTTTAAGTAACATTCAGCCACAGTCTGCGCACATTTACAACGGTGAAACGTTAACAGAAACACAAATGGACTAAAGCAGGTTTCATCCACCAAAATCTGACTCCCTGCATAAAACAGTCAGGCAGATTTATGGCATGTTTTTAAAAAGTCCGTTGTTACGAATTCTCCTCGAATCACTTTCCGTCCACGAATGAGCCTCGCATCCATTTAGTTTGCTCCTCGTTTATTCAATTAAAACACTTCATTAGTTAAATACCAGATGCTGTGTGGTTTAATGAGCGTGTCGTTTTGTTCCAGCGAGGATCTACACCACCACGGTGACAACTGGAGACATGCAGGGTGAGTGGAATAACAATTGACTGTTGGACGACTCGGGCAGGAATATTTATTACAGACTTTAGACATTTCAGAAGTTTGCTGTGTAAAGGCCTTCCATCAGGGTGGTTACTTAGAAGCCTAGTGTGCACTGAAGGAGGGAAATCTCTTAAAAAGGAAGGTCTGGATCCTCAGTTTTCAGTCACAGCATGAGTAGAGTTTGAGAAAACGAGTTCCTGAAAGCCTAAATGTTTTAATGTGAAGATGACATGTAAACTAAAAGATTAAAGTCCTCATCAACGTGGCTGAAACTCACTTTATTCAGGTATCCAGCCTGAATAAACAAAAACACAACACAAAGTTGTCCATTTTAGAAAGAAACTTAAAAAATAAAATTGTGGTTTGTTTATTTTATTAAGTTTTTATAAGAAATTTTAAGATATTGACAGGCTGTGATCATAGACGAGAAAGTAAAATGCCAAGTCTCCTCGAAAGTGACACCAAAACAACCATCCCCTGCCTACACTTTGGCATGGCTTGTTTTTTAACAATTTCCAAAAAATATCCTCCTAATCACGGGATAGTTTCTAAAAAGCTTTTCATCCACGCACAAAGAAAAAACAAATCCTTCCCAAAATGCTGCAGTAACCATGCCAGGCCTGTAAGTGGCGCTGTGACACATAAATACACCCAAATCAGGAAGCAAGGCATGGATTAGGTGCAGTGTTGCCAAGTCCGCTTATTATAAGCGACTTTGGGCTTGTTTTTTTCTAAAGTCGCTTGCAAATCTTGTGAGTCACGGGTTGCAGTTTTTTGTGCTTGTTTTGAACGTTTAGTTGCTTATTTGGGCTTGAATTTCTTTCCAAGTGAAACTAGTTGATAATGTCCCAGCTCTGAACAATAAAGCAAAACAAATGATAGGTAGCTTGTCCCTTCCACGCCCTCGTTTCCTGTTTATCGCTCGCCAACCACTAGAGGGCTTCACTCACACGCAGATGTCAAGATGTTGTTTTTAAAAATATGCCAAAATTTTTTTTGGCACTTTTTGGAGATTTTAAAGAAAGTTTTTTGTCGACTGTGTTTACTATGAGTTTGCTGTTGCATATGCAAAATATTTTATCGGAGCTTTAAAGTATGTTCTTCAAAGTGTTTGGCATAATTTAGCTGCTGTTTATGTGTAATGCCATAATAAATGTTTATACCGTTTAAAAACGGCTTCTGTTTTACACAATGTGGTGGGTTGCCAGTTCTATTGCAAGATCTGGCAACACTGATTAGGTGTATATTAGCATGAACTGTGAACAGAAAAAGAGGATGTCAACATGTTGTAGGAGAGATTAGATGCGACAATGACATTTATATGAGTCGTTTTGGCTGTCTACACGAAAACAAGAATTCAGGAGTTTTCCACTCTAGAACCAGTTTTCAAAAATCTTGTTTTGGGGCTCTGAAAACAACATATCCATGTGGATACAACACTGAAACGCTAAAAAAACATTCCCATGTTGACTGCCCTTCAGGTTTTACTTGACAATATTGTTTTCTTAAAGAAAACTGAACAAAGTTTGAGTGCTTTTGTTAAATTAAAGCAGTAAAACAAAAATATTTACCACAGATGGAGAAGAGCAGCCAGCTCAAAGTGTCTCCTGTTCCATTTCTGCTGAAATTTCTGAACAAGAATAATTTCATGGTTGTCTTTAGGCTCTTATTGATTTGGTTACTTCAATCAGCCATATCCAAGAACTCGACCACTAATTTTGTATGTAAAAAGTCTGGAAACCACAGATTTAGAACTACATTTAGCCAGAAAAGTCTCTCAGATTCAACACAGCATTTTAACTTCCCGGTTAAATAATGACCTGTTTTTGTTAGATGTGCATTTCTAACGTCCTAATTCTAACAAGTTCCGTCACTTTCTCGCAGTTCTGGTGCGGTTCGTTGCCATGACTCTGCTGAACCTGTGGGTGCTGCTCACTGTGATCTACTACCAGCGACGGAGCAGCAGAAGCTCCAAGAAAGACGATTAATCCGAAGTCTTGGGTCACCACACCTGATAAAGTTCAGGTCTCGGATCGTACTGGGTCACTTTAGCCACAGGAAATCTTGAACGATCAAACGGGCCAACGGTTAACAATAATTAATATCAGTTTTGGTTTGTGTTGAATCCAAACGTTTTAACATTCCAGTTTTTTGTAATCTGACCAAATATTTGTTAGTATTTTCCATAAATGAGCCAAGAGAATCCAAGCTCTTCCAACTCAGGATGACAAAAACTGTATTTTTATTGGGTTTTATACGGTTTGTATGGAATTCTCTTAAACCTCTTGAATAAACCAAACATTTTAACGTTTTACAGCATGATTTGTCATACATGAAACCGTCAAACATGCAGACACTTCTATAAAAATTAAAAAAAAAAGAACACAAAAGGCACATCCACGCGTTTATTGTTGAAGTGGTCATCATCGAGCAGTTTGGTAGCAAACATGCAATCTGAATGTAAAACCCTTAAATACAAAGTGGACAATGCTGTATAAATAATATAATGTGCACTGTATGGCATGTCAAATATATACTGTGGATATTTATATGTATAAAACATGCTTCATGGTTAAAGGAGAGCACTTCATACACACACACTCACAGTTTACTCTCCACCTTGCTATATAAGCCACATACACACGTGTCCAAACTCTGAGTTTGGTTACTTTTAATACAAAAATATCACAAATACTTTTAGAAAACTTTCATTGGACTAGTGCTGCTCAGTTTTTTGTCTTGTGGGGGACCAGGATTTGATTGCATACCCTCAGTTTTCTGCTTTTTATTGTCACTGCAGTCTGAAAACTATTGTGAGGGGAAGCCTGGAGGGATAAATAAAAAAAAAGCATGCATGTTAACCCGAGAGTAGTTTGGTGATGCATGTACGTTTCTGGGGGGAAAAAAAACAAGCGTCCATTCAAAAATAACACAAGGAGCTGGGATGAGAAAAGCGTCAACGGTGCAGTTCAGTAAACTTTAACCTTTTAGAAAAGACAGTGCAGGTTTGTAGGAGTACGGCCCTCCATTTAAGTGATTCACCATCAAAATCTGCACAACAGGCACTCGGGAGATTATTTGCTCCAATCCAGGAGGAATCCAACACTCCACCCCTACCTCGGTGAACCCCCAGGACCTTTGTACCTTCAACACAAGATTCACCTGAAAGCAGAGCTGTGGAGAGCGAGAAGCTACAATCATGAAAGTACAAACACTTTCCGGGGTCAGGTTCAAACAAAACCAAAATACAGAACCTTCTGAGCGTAGTGTTCCCCGTTAAACCCTTCATATAGTTCACAATCATTAAACACAAAACGTCTTATTTTTGGCCACGATGATCCTCAGAGACGTGGACGAGTTTTCCTGCTCGGCTCGTCCTGCTGAGAATCGTTGAGGTAAAGTGGATCCCCTTATCACCAGCGCTCCTTTAGCGTCTCGGAGGTACAAAAAGCGTGTAGCTGAATCGTTTCAGGAGCTGACTGGCTCGCAGAGAGAGAAAAATAAAAGTGTGGCTGAGAACAAATGTAACTCTCACAGGCTTGAGACGGCGAGCGGGTTGTGGAGTGACGTTGAGTTCAGCGTGCCGATCTGCAGACGAAGCTTCAGTGGAAGCGCGCCACAAAACCTCAGATGCATCACGCTCCCAAAGCGAGGTTAACTGGAGGAAAAGAAACAACAAGTTAAACACGTGTAGCCATCTTGTTTCTAAATTACACTCAAGGAGAAAAACTTCACGTCGCCTTAATTTTGAAAGGAAAAAAACAAGCCTACTGGAAGTTTAGGGTGAAAACATGCAGAAAAAGTCCCAGTGGCAAATTAGAAATAAGAGTAATTTTCTGTCTTTGAGTTATGTCGATGTTTGAACAGCAAATATGGAATATGGGACTTGTCTGTTAAATTTACCTACAGGGAGGATTAAAATAAACTATGAGTTGTAAACAAATGTCACGTCATTTCTGTGAAAGTCATTGATTACGTTTAATGAAAGATCTAAAATACTTCTAACTGGATAATCCACATCAAAAAGTTATTTAGCATAATTATGATGTAATCAGTGATTGCAATTTTACTCTGAACAAATCTAAGCTAAGCATCGGAGTAACAGAAAATGACAAATATCAAATAAATCTGTTGGGTATTCAACAATTTCCTCACGACAGGACATACAAGATGAGACCGCTGTATATGGAGGATTAAGTGCCAAAAACAAAACAATTACGCAAGTATTTATTTTTTTAATTCTTTGTACGTCCTCCAACTCCCAACAGAAGTCGAGTTGTTTTGGTTTATAACCGTTTGTGGATTGACCACGATGACTGAGAATCTTCTTATATGTCCTCCAACTTATTTATTATGCAAGGTAAAATTAAATACACCTGAACAGAAAATCCCAAAGTATAAAAACATACAAACAAAATGCAGATTCAGACAAATTTTTATTAAAATTACTGATATATTAAATATAATTTCAATATTTTTGGTAGTTTTAGTCCTCCATAAATAAACGGCCTTTCCCAGCAGCAGATATTTGTGGATCTACTAATTTGAAAAATGTTTCAACATTTTCCAGGAATCAGTTATTCTGCTTTAATGCTGCACAACTAAAACCTGAAAGGTCAAATGATTCCAGCATCTAAAAGCTAATAAACAAATCGGTTTTATTGATTGTTTAAGTAGAGAACAGCTCAGAATTATTATTTTTTCAACTCCAAAAAGGGGCGGGGCCATAGTAAAATGGCTGTGGATGGTTTTCCCTGGCGTGTAGCCGCAATTCAAACAAAACGATGTAAACATTTAAAGCTCGGCTTCTAAATGAATTGAAATGTTCTGCCAAATTATTCTTTACTTGCCAAATATTCAAATATCAGCCTTTATTTCAGACACCCTGTGACAAAGTGATCCCTGCAACTGAAAATGAAAGAAGCAAAACATCTGAAACACCTTCATGTGGCCTGACATCCCCTCTGAGTGACAATAAACCCGACACAAACACATTTAGGGGCCAAGCTGATTGTGAGACAAACATGAGCAGGGGGGAGTCATCATTGGTACCAGGTGCTGCTGGATTCTTCTCTTCTCATTCTGAATCCGTTCGATCTGCGAGGGCTGGGGTCGGCGTACGCAGCAGGGAGTAAACAAAAGTGACCGGCAGGTGAATAAAAGCAAATACTTGGAAAAATCACAGCACAGCGGGCGCAAACTGACCAAAAACCTTTTTAAAGATGTATACAAATAATTTTTAAAAGACACTTTTCAGATTATCTGGCTATTAAAGTCAGAAAAAGATGGAGGATATGACTCTTTCTACAACTAAAACCTACTGAACTTGTTGAAGAGAGCAGGGACTTTAAAAAAAATAATTTTAACACCACACTTTCTGCAAATAAACAAGATTTTTGGCACAAAGTTTAAAACTGTTCATGGTGGCGGGTTAATTTTTGTGAAACTGCGTTTAGGTTTAAGACTGCAGCTCGTAAAGTCCTTAAACTTCCAAGTCTGCTAATCAGATCAGAAAATAAATTTGTTTTGATGCGTTTTCCTGAAACGTTACGTTCTGCTGTTTAAACCCACGCTCCCAACACGTAAAGCTAACGCTTTAATGCGCACGGCACACACTGCACACAGTGTTACCGTCAGACAAGAACCGAGGCACAATCATCGTCCATATCATCCGACACCCAGTGCCAGTCCTGGACACTGAGCTCCTCCAATCTGAAAGCAGGGAATCAGTTTTCATAGTCGTGATAGTTTTTAAAAACCCAAAATGTAATATTAGACATAACTCATTATTAAACAAATAGGTCATTTAAAATAGTTGTATTGAGTTTAAAAACTGTGTAAACAGACTTTATGGGGTCCTTAAACTGATGCATTTCTCCTTAGAAACAGAAACTAAATCACACCTGGACAGAACAAGAGCAGCTCTGAATCACTAAGACGTTATTATTAAACATTACTGCAGCGGGTTTGCGCAAAGTTGGGTAATAAAATAAAATAAAACAACTCCTATTAGAGGTTCTGTTCAGAAGTGTCAGCTGAACATGAAAACAAACTAAAACTTTTTGCTGAATATGAACTAAAAGCTAACATGAGTCGCCTTCTACGGAAGAATCATTTCCATTTTTAGGGATTAACCTGTCTAAATAAAGGTTGAATGAATTTAGTTTGTGTGAAACCCACGACTTTTGCATCGTAAGAAGCTTCAACTGAAAAAAAAAAAAGAAAAACAACTGGAAAAGAAATTTGTACATGCAAGTTTTCAAAATATGAAATCTTTCTTTGTCTACCTGGTCTTGCTGGGCGGGAGCTGTCGACTGGGCCTCTTCAAGGACTGGCTGGACTGAACCTTCATGGAGAGGCGTGGCGAGGAGCGTCCAAACTGATCCGGTAGTGGCGGCTTCTTAGGAATCCTCTTCACCAGCCGGCTCACCCACTTCTGCTGCTCCTCCTGGGAGGAGGCGAGCAGTAGCAGGTTCTTGGCTGCAGATATGTCGTAGTTCACTGGAGGTCAAAGAAAAGAGACGTCTATTTAATAATCTTGAATATTAATAGGCGGTATTAAAGCAGCACAGGTGAACGTGTACAGACCTTTGCAGGGAGCGATGATCTCCTCCTTCTTGTCCATGTGGTCCTTGTGGCACTTGATGTGGCAGCGCCGGCACTCCAGAGCTGGTGGAGGTTTGAACATGTTCCACAGGGGTTTGGTGCACGCCTCGCAGTTGGTGGGGAAGTGGTAGATGGTGGGGATGAACTCGTGGCCTTTGTGGCAGATGTAGCTGGACTTCTCTCCGATGGACAGCGGCTCCACGGGAAACTCTGGCTCCTTTTTGCTCTCACCTTCATTGGCGTAAAGAATCTGTAGGATGCACAGACGACTGTTATCTGCAGCTTTTAAACGATTGAGAAGCAGAATCAGAAAACATCAAAGGAAGGCTGGAACAGACCTGGAATATCCTGGGAATCTCCTTGGCTTCAGCACGGTACACATCTGTTTGAGTAACTGGCCTCACGTGGAAAAGTTTGCTGCAACACAAAGATAAATATTACATCTTACTATTCAACACCTGTAAGAAATAATCCAAAACTTCTCGAGTTTGTGGGTCAGGTGTTACACATACTCTATGTCGAGCACCATGCAGGGAATGGACTGCTCTCTGTCCTGTTCGCTGTTATAGAAAATTATCTTCTTGCTGCTCACCACAACATACTACAGAAACAAGGACACATAAATCAGTGGTAAATCAGAGACATTTACAGGTAAAGTGCAAACTTGGTTTATCCCAGACCTTTTTCTCCCATCCAAACTTCTTGGTGTTGTTTCTGACAGGAAGACAGAGCCACCCCTCGAGTCGGGTTTCTAAGAGAGAGGATTGAAAAATCAGGAAGATTCCTACGCATGCCAGGAGTGCAACAGTACGACCAAGTCCTTTTGGTACAACAGGGAACATTAAAACTATTCCAAGAGCAAAAACAGAAAAGCAAGAAGTGTTTGCTTCAGTTATATGACCTAAACTTGATGCTAATTAAAAAATACAGAATATCTTTAGTAAAATAAATAAAATGTGAAATATGCTTCACAGCTAGCTGAGTGCTCGTGTGGGGATATGATGCTTGATATCAGAGAATACCAAAAGCAACCCAAATGGCTTGCCATGGACTTCTCAGAGATGATTATATGACATTACTGCCTGCTATACTTGCCTATCACCCCTCTCTATTGCAGCCGTCCATGATCGCTCAGGCAGGTCTTTTAGCTTCTGTCTGTTTTTTCTCAACCAGCCTTGCTTTATTTGATGCAAAATGTTTAGATAGTATCTTCCTCTGTTAGCAATACGCAGTTAAATAAATGTGCTTCTAGATGGAAGCTGAGACTAACGAATCTGTCATCTGGGTCCCTGTGCCGAACCGTTACGGTAGACAGACATGTACCGTTACACCTCAGACACCGTAAACACATACTTATACTTTGTGCAAATTTATGCTTGAGCGTTCTGACCTTATTACTGAAGTGTACATTTTCCAACCATGTAACAAAATTTTAAAAGCTTACTGGACTTATTTTTTGGATGCATTTATGTTTAGATATTAGCCATGGCCTCACTTTAATGAACAAAATCTTAAAATCTTATGAAGGCTTGAACTTGTTAATGAAATTAAATGAGCCACTCTGGACTGGTTAATTTTTTTTCCCAAAACATTCAAATTTGTGCTTGTAAACAAAGTAAACACTGAGTAAGTCATGTAGTTCCACAGGGATTTGTGCTCGGACCTTTCGGATACTTTTTCTACATTCTTTCACTACGTAAAATTATTAGACAGCAGGATATAAGTTTCTATTGCTGTTGATATTCAGTGATATTTGTTCATAAAGCCTGATGAAATCAATAATTAGATTAAAAATGTGTTTTAGAATCAAACGCATTTGTTTTTTTTGCTTGAATTATTGTTTTTGCAATCATTTAAATAATAAATCTCAAATAAACCAGGCTTTTTTTTTTGTTTCAGAGGAGTGAAAACAAGCTACTAGAACAAATAGGTGGGCTTTAACAGTTGAGTAATTCATCACAATAAGAACAATTCACCAAAAAACGAACATTTACTACAAACCAGTAATTCAAACAGTTACAAAGAGTTCATTTTTACCTGCGTACGCATCGTCAGCATCAAAATCTGGCCCGCTGCTCATGCTGGCAGAATCCATGGATTGAACACTGAGCGTCTGCAGGAGATTCCTCAGCTGCTCAATGTCACTGTCTTTACTGTCCAGAGCCATCTGCAGCTCGATACGCATCTGGCTCTCTTCTGCCAGTTGCTACATGTGGAGAAAAAAAAAGTATGACTTCAGGGTAAAGTTGCTCATTTTGATACGGTGAAACAAGTGGACATGTGAACAGATCACCCACCGCTTGCATCTCGTTGATCTCCTTCTGGTATTTAATCATGGTGCTGTTGAGCTTTTCTTTCTCCGACCTCAACTCCAGCTGCAGCTTCCTGTTCTCCTTCTCCTTTCGCCGCATGTCTGTGTCGTTACCACGACGGCTTCCTCCGCCACGCACCTCCTTCCTGTTCATGATTTCTGCCAGCTTATTGACAGCCTGCAGATGAACACGAGTTAAAAGTCCTTTCAGAATTACAGAAAACTGGGATAAAAAGATTAAAATGGCACTTTGAGAACAGCGCAAGGAAATCCTAAAAACCACCAACCTGAGTTTTCAGGGTCCTCTCAGACTGAAGCTGCTTCTCAAACGTCTGTTTCATGTGATTAATCTGCTGCTCCCAATCCTTCGACTTCCCAGAGTCTAAACGGAAACAAAAAAATTAAACCCTGACAACAAAATTTATGAATTTTAATATAAGGGTTTCTGATTAACCTTCAAGTGCTTCCTTCATTTTGTTGTTCAGTTCCTCTTTCTCATTGGCCAAGTTGGCAACGTCACTTGTCAGGGTCCTATTGGCCTCCTCCAGCTGCAAACAAAACAAAACATCCATAACAACATCTGTCAAGTCCCACTTTTACTCATTTTGAATGACAATGTGATTTGAGCTGAACTCAGGAAGCGTGTGTTCGTGAAACTCACCGAGCTGATGGTGATGTCCTTCTCAGAGAGCTCTTGACGGTGGCGAGCCATCATCTCCTTCAGCTCCAGCTCCTTCATTATCTTCTCCTTCTCCAGGTCTGAGTACTGCTCCTCGGCGATGGAGCGAGCCAGCTGCTCCGAGTCGGCCTTCGTTAGCGTGATCTCCAGCTGAGCTGCCAAAGAATCCCTGAAACGGAACCGGCAGAACAGAATCAAACCCAGAAATAAACCACGAATACTCAAATACTAAACTGTGGATTTTTAAGCAGTTCGTTCACCTCTCTTCCTGCAGCTCCTGCAGAGACTGCTGCATGTCCTTGTAGAGTTTGTTTTTCTCCTCACATTCCTCCTTTAGTTCTCGAACCTGAGTCTTATAAAGAGTCTGGAAAAGAGGTGTGAAATTTAAAAAGTTCAGTGAGCTTTCAAAATGGAACCCATCACTGCAGAACCAAAGGAGGTGAGGAGCACAACTAGTACGTTGCTTGAAATGTGGGTCAGTTATCGCTATTTTAAATCCATGCTTTTAAAATGCTGCTTAATTTAATTTGAAGGATATTTCAAGATTTTTCAGGTGAACTTTAAAGCTTTTTTAGCACTTTTGGCACAAACCTGAATGTCTACTTGGTGATCAGGAGCATTTTAATGTGATTTGTATTCATGTTGAATATTTTTAAACGAGTTATACTAAAATAATCTTGTTTATAAGTAAAATAAATTAGACATGTTTGTTTAAAATCTGTTTAACCGTTTCAAACATGCATTAGTAACTGAGATAAATGCACAAGTTTAATACAGAATCATACATTAATCCCACTCACAGAGAAATACTGTTCAGCCTCCAGCTGGTCCTGTAACTCCTTCATTTGTCCATCTGTGTCTTGTCTTTCTCTGGAGGCAAAAAGAAATAAATAAATCATGAATTATCTGTAGGGATCTGATAGGTGGAGCAGGTGAAAGGAGAGCTGAACGGACTTGCGCAGCTCTTGGTTCTGCTTCTCTAAGCTGCGTTTGATGTCCAGCAGGTGGTTGGTTTCCTGTTTGAGCTGCTTCTCAGAGGTTCTCAAGCTGTTGAGCTGCTGGTTCTGGGCCTTTAGGTCGTTCAGGGTCAGGCTACGCTTCTGGGTCTCCTGCTCGATCTTCAGCGTCAGGTTCTTCACCTGAGGAAATACATATTACATATTTTCTTTGGGAAGCCTTTAAAATCCAAACCCAAACTTCACAGGAATGATCCTCACCTCCTCAGTGAGTCGGTCCTTGTGTCGTCGCAGCTCATCTAGTTTCTGTAAGGCCTGTTTGTAGTCACAGTCCATCATGCTGCTGTATTTCTCCAGCTCCAGGATTCTGTTCTCCAGGCGCAATTTGGCTGCTCGCTCCTCCGCCAGCTTCCGCTCCATCTCTGCATGAAAATAATTCAGTTAGAACAAATCTTTCCCGAGCTAATCTGCTGTGATTAAAGCTGCAAAGATAATTCCAGTAACACCGTGGGACTAATATCCATGCACTAAGTTTGATTCAGTGCATGCGAATTACAACTAAAAATCCACAAAACGCAGGATGCTGAAGAATATGCAACTTTTCATGGAGTGCATTTAAAAGTGATTTAAAGTGTTTAAATATTACAATAATTTATGCATTCATTCCTGCTGCCCTACCTTTTTACAGAAAAAATATAGTTCAAGTGATTTTTTGTTATAATCATCCACAATTTAATTAAGTTATCGTTTCATTTTTGATTAAAAAACTCCAGGTTTTTTTTTTTTTAAAAACAGGTCTGGACCGCAGGCAGGTCAATCTAGTACAGTCCTAGAAAAGACTTGGCTCCTGAAGGCATCACGTGTTCTAAAATCTCAGAAAACTTTTCTGCTCCTTGTGTATCCTCTTCTGAGTTCCTCTGCTCAGCTTTGCATTTTAGAGCTACAGCTTGTGTACATCAGCAGCTATGGAGTATTACTTCCTTTTTAGGCTCTCACAAAACGCCACAAGGACGCCTTCTGGCCACCTCGCTGTGATATCGGAATGGACCGAGTAACAGACCTAAAACGATCAACATGTGAAAAGATACCAGTGCTGCAGCGTAATGTGATGAAGTGATGGAATATGTGATCTGTGCAACCCACTGAACAAAAAACAGTTTTATTATCGAGGGAAGATTGATGCTGAGGCACCGCTAGTTTGTATTTAACAAATTAGTTAACCACAAAGAGAATCATCACCGAGTTTGCTCACGTTTTTAAAATATGACAGCTATGTCACATTTAATACGTCACACTCCATGTCAACACAGCAGAGTTCTGCTCCGTGCCTCTTTTGGTTCAGTTTCATTTCAGAAAACGCACGTCTGTGCATGACGTGGTTGGCTGCGATTTTTAAACGACCAGAAAGAGCTTAAAGACGGGCTGATCTGTGCGCTAATTTTGCGGAACCGTTTTCTGAAAGAACCTTTATTTCCTTACCCCAAAAACTTTCCTCAACCTAAACTTTTTTTTTAAAGAATGTGTTGAAATCCTAAAATACAAGAATGGATGTAATACAGAAGCTGCGTTCTGATTTGGGCCTACAGTTCAAATCAGCCTCACCCTTCATGGATTCTGACTTGGCGCCCTCGATGGTCACTTTGATCTTGCTCTTGTCTGCCAGCAGAGATCTGGTGGCTTTATGAGAAGCCCCCTCCTGCTCCAGCTCCTGCTGCAGAACCTTCAGCTTGTAGGTCATGTCGATCTCCTTGTTGCTCATCTCCTGTACAGACATGAAACAAAAGCAGAGGCGATTCAACACCGAGAGCACAAAAAATATTCATCTGTCAATAAATAGTGTCCAACTTAGCGTCAGACTAAAGTAAAGTTCTTGAGTGGAAATTAGACTCATTAACTGGCTGAAAAGATCAATCATTTGAATTTCTTCCTTTTATTCACATTCCTCTTTCAACTTCAACTTGATCTGGTTCAGACGTCTGGTTTGGGACGTTTCTGAGGTACCTTTTCCAGATCGGTAAGTTTCTCCTGCAGCTGTCTTTTCTCAGTCTCCGCTTTGGACAGAACCTGTTTCTGCAGGCGGGCCTCTTCCTCCAAACCCGAAATACGTCCTGAAAAACAAAAGGCCAAGAGGACTTAGAGACATATATCCAAACTGGCACACCTAAGAATCTTACTCCATACTCTTTATTTTATTGTAATAAAACTTGATATATTGTTTTGTCCTGTCAAGTTACTTTTATTGCACAGTATAAGTCTGAAGGTGTTCATTCTCTCCTGACCCTGATTCTAAATTCTGACAAGTTGAACCAAATATTTTAATTATATTGTCAAATATGTCCAGTTTCCTCAAACTCCTTTAATAATTTCAAACAAAACGTGCTGAGATAAGTCAAGGTTTTAGCAAATTGTTGTTTCCAAAAATAGTATTTCATGGCTTTCTAGTTGTGTTGACTTTTGTATTTAAGAGTCTTAAACAAACAAAATCGTTTGAAAATGGTCAGATACAAGAACGGAGCCAAAAATGAGCAGAAAGAGCAGCCAAAACAAAATTTTAGAAAAATTTGCTCTCACCAACATATACAGTCACCCATTGTTAAAATAAGCAAATCTATTTACGTAATAAAAGCTTGTTGTTGTTTCACTGCAGTCTTAATTACAGTGCGCTTTGTTGTTTGACTTGTTAATGAAATCCATCTGAAGACTAACAGCTGCAGTTTGACGGCAGGAACCAGAATGTGGCTTCATGTGGTTTACCACAATCGAATAAAAAGCTTAATATGACAGCTGACACACCACTTCAGCAGCATTAGGACTAATCTATTAGCCTAGCTGTTAGATTGTTGGTTGGAGAATGATTTATACCACCATGTGACTGGAACCAACAGGAAGCTTCTGTCTATAAAACATCAGAAGGAACCCAGTTTGAAATCCTGACTTACAGCCTCTGTGGTTGGTAAAGAAGCACCAGGTTCATGTTTTATTCAACTTCCTGACCCCTGAAGTGACCGCTCTGTGTCACACACAGACAGGAAGTGAACGAGCTGTTTGTTTAAAGAATTTTGACAGAATTCAGACTCAACAGTAAACATCTTACTAAGCAATGTAAAATCTCTTTGCTTCCCTCAGTGTTTGTACGGTATATTGATCCCGTTGTTTACCAGCCTTTGCGTATTTGTGTATTTAATGATGTGTGTGTGTGTGTGTGTGTCACACACCCATCAGGTCGCTGATGGTTTCCGAGCCCTGGCTGTGCTCTCTCCTCTCGGACTCCAGCGCCGCCTGCAGGCTGATGAACTCCTTCTCCAGGCTCAGCTTGCTGCGCTCCAGCAGGCAGCATTTATCCTGCAGCTCGCGCACGTTAGCCTCCAGCTGCTGCAGCTGCTTGCTGCCTTCAGTCTGAGCTTTACGGAGCCTCGTCGCAGCTTCGGACTCGGCCCGCAGCAACGTGTTGGCTTCCTCCAACTGACAGGACAACAATATTCACTTTAAAAACTCCTTTAGGTCTGGTTGAAACCTCAGATGTGACTTTAAATCACTTTACGCAATACAGTTTGTAAAATATTTAATGCAGAAATGTCTTTAATCTAAGAAGAGTGCCTCAAACACCTTTCTCTACAGCTGGTTTCAGAGCTCTTTAATAATAATGCATAATTTGTTCAGCATGTTTTCCAAGTCATCTGACAAATACTAACATATTCAATAACAGAGAGATTATACAAGCATAATTAAATGCTTGAGTCAATACTTTGTTTAGAATTGTTGTGCAACGACAAATACAAATCAACGTTTTAATTTTTATTTATTCAAGCGACTCTAGATTTGAACCATGATGATAAAAGAACATGTCAGATAAGATGGTTTAATTCTAATAAATCAGTCTTAGCCTCAGATATCAATCATTATAATGAATTATTGTTCATCCACCAATATTTGAATATTTAAAAAAATGTTTGTTTTCAGGACTTTTATCATTTTGTTTCCAAATCTGAAATAAAAACCAAACTCAAACATGTTTTATTAATTTGGTTTGAAACACCTCAACATTACCTCATTAGTTAGAGAAGTTCAGTAACTTTTACTTGAAATCAAAGCTCGCTGATACCTTTGTTGACTTTGTTTTAAATCAATGTATTATTCAAGCTAAATATGCTGAAACAAAGAAAAATAAATGCACATATATAAGATTAACAGACCTGTTTCTGCAGCTGAATGTTCTTCTCGTTGGAAATGTGTGAATTTTGGTTTCTTTTCTTCATGTCATCCAGCTGGTCTCGAAGGCTGTTGACTGCAAAAAACAGAAAAACAACGATTAATTCTTCATTAAAAGTTAAAACATAAATAAAATATGTATATGTGCATAACAGACGTGAGATGAGATGTCTTAATTCTGTTAAAAAATATGACAGCTGAGTTTTGGAAAAGATGCAGTCCATCTGAGTTGAGTAATTTTATTGTGCAGTTTTACACTCTGACCAGGTGATGGCACTGTAACCCAGATTATTTTTTTTTTAGCATTTTAAATTATATTTAAATAAAAAATAAAAAGCCAAACAAATGAAAAATGTTCAGTTCTTTGTGAGATTAATTTAGTGTTATTTTTCCACTTTTTAAATTATGAATTACAAAAAGAAAAAAACTTTTAGTCACTTAACCGTGAGAGTGCAGAAATGTGTTGAAATAAACAAGGAAATAAGACTTGAGAGGAATTAATGAACTGTAAATGATTTAATACAACTAATTAAACTCCGTGTATCCAGGACATGCAGAGTGTTTGGTACCTTCGTTCTCCAGGCAGCGCTTCTTGTCGGCTTCATTCTCGGCCTTTCGGTGGCTCTCTAGACTCTTGTGCTGCAGCAGGGCCTTTTCTCTCTCCAGCTGCCTCAGACTCGTCTCCAAGTTCTTCCTGCTGTTCACCTGAGCATCAGTCAAAAGAAACATTTACAAATCCGTGACTTCACAGATCCGTTTTCATGACTCACGTTAACAGCTTATTGACTCTGTCATCAGAACCAGCAATTACATATTTTAACATCAAACATCCGCATCATCCAAGACGTGCACATCAGGTCTAATTTGGTCGGGTTGTGACTAATTTCTGGATCGGATTTACTGTTTTGGTTTGAAATATTGTGGAAATATAACAATTTCAAATTACATTACACACTTACCTCATCCTCAAATTCTTTGGTAACTTTTTCTAAACGAATGGTGGCAGCTCTGCACAGAGTTAAGGTTTAAATTTAAAAATAAAAACAATAAAAGCTTAAGCTGCCGTACAATTTAAACTGTGTTCCTTTCGTTTCGGTACCTGTATTTGTTGTCCAGGTCATCTTTGACCAGCTTATCGTTACTCAGCTGGATCTCCAGGTTGTGAAGTTTCTTCAGAAGTGCTGCAGACTGAAAACAGAAAATGCACCAGTAACACAAAAAGGTCAGAAAATAGTGGAGAAAAAAGAACAAATATTAATCAGAGTATTCACAACAGATCAACCGCTTCATTCTGATTTTTACAAGACGTAAAAAACTAATGTTAAAATATTTTAACCTCTGAAAGACAACAGGCAGTTTAACGTCCGACAGCAGTCTTGTTGAAATTTTTATTTTTTAAAACAATAATCTTGAACTTAAACGTAGAATTAGACTGAATTAAAATAAATACATCCCTGTATATATTAACAATTGACATCAAACTAAATAAAACTCCTTTTACATTTGGGGACTGAAGTCAGAGACTCAGATTAGCTATTAGCTCAGCCATTCATAATAAAAGCAGCTTAAGTCTGTGCAGCTACAAACACTGAAACTCTAACAAAGTGCAAATAAATCAGGATCAGGAGTAAGAAATCCCATTTAAATTATAATCTAAGTGGTTTACAGCCGTGTTCTGTGTGGTTGTGTGAACCGACAAGTGTTGCAGGCGGCTCCTGAGAAGCTCGGGTCAAACGATGTGGAGCTGGCTGCTGCTGTTGTTCTGGTGAAGAAGAAAGTGGACCCCTCTTTCGGTTCTTAGCTTTGTTTTTTGTATCAAAATGCAATAAACTTATCTGGTTCAATCTGATTTTTAACTGGTAAATCTCAGACTCAGACATATTTTCATTTACTGTCATTATGAATATACAAGAACTGAACCAAAGCATCTGGGCGTCTTGTTCCTGATGGCAGGATGGAGCGGGAGATGAATCGACGGAATGGGGCCTCCTCCTCAGTAATGAGGGTGTTGCTTCGGTCAGTCAAGAGGGACTGTGCATCTTCTGTGGCTTGGGAACATCTCGGGGTCCCGCAGAAGGAGTTGGACAGTGTCACTAGGAAGAGGGATGTCTGGGTTTCTCTCTTAAACCTGCTGCCTGTTGACCCGACTGGATAAGAAGTAAAAACACCCTGCTTTTTAAACCACCTTCCTCAACAATAACGGTCAGTAATCATCTTCTGAATGTGAAGAAATCATACTGTTGATCCAGTCTGGTCCAAGCCGCAGCTGTTGGACAGTCTCACGTGGGACACGTCGAGTTGATCACGGTGGACACAGTGACTGCAGAGTGCACAGGTCCTGTGGCTGCAGAACAAGCCCAAATCATCGCCCACAAAGGGTGTTTGTGTCAACATGCTGCGTTTGGTTTCCTCTAAACATGGTCCTGTCTAACATACTGGTACATCTACTTTGATCTCTTTGTTCCAAAAGTCTTGTTTAGATTAAACTTTCCAGACTTTAAACTGTTCTGCCACGTTCGTTTTAGGGAGAGGAGGTTTGCTCCTGTAAACTTTCCAAACACGCGTGTTCAACCTGAATATTTAAGATTATCACATACTGCTTTAACGTTTTTTTTGCCATAGTTTTTTGTGATACAGCAGAGAAGCAGAGTGATGTCACGTGTTGTTAAATTTTTTTTTAAATCTCCCAATCCATAAAACTTTCATCCTGAAGCAGAATGTAGCTACTTTTAAGCGTAAAGTATTCACCTCTCCTTTTGAATTATCATGCGTCACCGAGATGTTGTTGGCAGAACTAAGCAACCTAAAGAACAGAAAACAACAAATTAAACATCAAGTTATAAACCACAAATAAATCTAGACAAGTTTCTAAAATGCTTAGAGACAGGAGGAGAAGAGGAGGATTTACTGGTCTTCTTTGAAGTAGGTGAAGCCGACAAATGGTAATTGATTTCCAACAAAAGCCTTGGGTGTGGGGAATGTTTCGACGTCGCCTTTGTCATCTTCGATCTCGTCAAAGTTGCTGGTGTCTATGTCGCTGCTCAGCTCCGGAACCACAGGAGCAGCCGCTGACGAGGAAAATAGAAGAAAACTTTACAGTTTTGTATTTTTTTTCTGTACACAGCTGAACGCTGACTTCTGTTGTGCTGAAAGAACAAACTCAGTAGTGAAGTTGTTGTCAGATGAAACATGTTATCAAGTGAAACATCACAAACAGGTTTGTGATACTGACTGTCCCTGATGGTGTCGAAGGTCCACTGGTCGTTTTTGAAGAAAGGATGCCGTTTGATTTCTTCCACACCGTTTCTGCCCAATCTCACCCCCCTCAGAAACACAAAATCACAGCATGAATTATCTTCCCCAGTACAAATTCAACCAAAGGAAACATTAAAAACTGGGTTTTATTTTGAGTTATTGTCAAAAGACAGAAAATAAATCTGAAAACATGAGTAGTTTCTGCCAAATATAACAAGAAATAGACAATCTATCTTTTTTTTACCTTTCAGTCAGGAAAGCACAGATGATATTCTTGGCCTCTTTGGAGATCTCCACATCATCAGGGAAGTTCAGGGAGTTCTTGTGGTCCATGATCTTACTGTAGGTTCCCACCAGAGAGTCAGCGTAGAACGGAGTGTCACCTAAAAGGCAAAGGAACAAAACCATTTACAACAAGCACATAATTTCATCGTTGTCTTTGTGAAGCGTTCACTGACCCACAAGCATCTCGAAAATGAAAACGCCCACAGACCACCAGTCGCATTCCCTCCCGTAGTATCCGTCTCCTCCCTGAGACTTCAGCACCTCCGGAGAGATGTAGTCTGGCGTGCCGACAGCCGTGTCACAGTGCACCATCCCAGTCTGCAACAAAAATAATAATATATATTTTATATATATCAGTAAGAGTCATAAAATGTGCAGCGAATCCAAGATTAAACCATCGGCTTCAACCTTTTGAGGAGGCCGGCAGGAAAATTTGGGCTTTGTTGCAGAAGTCATCTTTTTCTAACTTTTAACCTTTTTATGATACTTTTTATAATCCTTTGAATGAACTAAAACACAAACACATGGGATGATGAATCCACCTCTTGTTTTGCAGCTGAGAAAACCTTTTCATAAAAACTTGGCACCGCTTTTTACTCAAATCAGATTTTTACTGATTATGGCCAAATGTGCAATTACTCCTCCATCAGTCCAAGAATTGTTTCTAAATCACACTAAGCTTGTTCAGACTTATTATGACTGTTCCACAAATGGAAAGCTTTTGATTTGTAGTCAAATCAAGCCATTATTTCTAAGAGCCTTCAAGAGCAGCACTGTTTTTTTTGGACCTCTAATTTCCACAGTCAACTGCTGATTTTCAAATGATGAAATGCAGGAAAGTGAAGGCACATTGCTCCCTCTTTACGTTCTACTTTGGCTTTCCTACAATTTATCTGCTGAAGAAGCAAAAGAATTTGATCTGCACAGTTAAAGAAGAGCAACTGGTGGCAATTAAAAATAAATTAAAGTAGAACTGGACTCACAGAGTCCATTTTCATGCAGGTGCCGAAGTCGGCCAGCTTCAGATGTCCGTGTCTGTCCAGCAGCATGTTGTCTGGTTTAATGTCCCGGTGGATGAAGCCCATGGAGTGAATGGAATCCAGAGCCATCACCACTTCGGCCGCGTAGAATTTGGCCCATTTTTCTGGCATGTCGTAGGTGCTGGTGAGGTTGACCAAGTCTCCTCCTGGCATGTACTCCATCACCATGTAGAGGTAGTGTTCGTCTTGAAAGGCACAGCACAACTAAACGCACAAACAAGGCTATGAATACGTGATCTGCGTTTCTGTAATACAATCGTCAAAAAAATAACCATAGGCTCGAAAACATACCTGCACAACCCAGGGGCTGTTGGCGAACGCCATGATGTCTCTCTCCTCCCAGAAGAACGCAGAGTCCGAGCGCTTGATCATCTCAAACTTGCTGAGCAGCTTCAAGGCGTAGACCTTCTGCGAGGCTTTATGTCGAACCTGGAGGATTGTGAAAATGAAAAGATTCTCCAGAACCGAACTCGACTCTGAGCAGATGTGATGTGCAGATTGTTCAAACTGCAGAAAGCAACATTAATCACATGCAACACAGAAGAAAAACACACCAGGATAAATAATGTTACATAGTGAGAGTCTTCCTTACGTCAGTGGTAAAAAGCATTAACCAAAGCCTGAATGTTGACTTTAACACACATATGCCCCCACGCTCCACAAACCTGGTCATTTTTCATAAACAGTAATTTAAAAAAGTTGTTTTTCCTTTATTTACATGCCAACACATCATTTTTAGCTCCCAGCTCAGAGGAGATCCAGCCATACTGTGACTGGTTGAAACCAAGTAAATGATTGGCTAAATTGTAACACACTTGTTCTCTTTTCCACCACCTATCAAACAACCAGAGGCTCAAAACAAAACTGATCCAAAAGCAGCTAATGGTATACATCACCCAGTCTAAAAGATTTATTTATTTCTTAATCTAAACAATTAAGCCTAGAGAGGTTTTGTTTTTACGTCACTGTTTTTCCCCTGAGTGAAAAAACATTTAGTACAGCTCCAGAACCGGAAGTACAAAAAATGAAAATCATCCTAAATGAAAGTCTGCTGGTCTCAGCTGGGATCCTCACAACAAACCAAAGTCAAAACAGATCAGACATTAAAATCTAATCAGAAACGGTTTTCTGCTGCTGAAGCTTAATCCCAAGCAAAAGCCTGAAGGTGTTTAAAGGTCAGAATGGACAAAGTTCAACTGCTAACCTGCACACTGTAGTTACACAGATAGGTTGGGTCTGTAGTTCAGAAAAAAAAACATTATATTGTTTTAAATAAACACAACCTTGTTTAATGTATATCCACATAATAAACATGTAAACTCACCAGTTGGACTTCACCAAACGCTCCTCGACCAATAATTTTAACTTTTTCAAAGTCTTCGGACTTCATCTGAAGGTCTCGCAGGCTCCCCACGACTTTCTCATCTAAAGTAAAATATATATATATATTTTTTGAAACTATTGTACATACAGTGATTTGGTTAAGTTCTGTTACAGATTAACATGAAACCAACTCACATCGGTTTAAGAAGGTTTCAATGTTTTTATTCTTGCGTAGCGCCGGGTAGTCCAAGTCCAAGACCAGAGCATTTATGGAATCCTAAAAACCAAACAAAAACAATCCTCCATCAGCTTTAATCACCAATAAACATGACAGAGGCAACAAAACTGAATGGACAAATGGTAATCAAAAATAAATTGGCTATAAAGAAAGGAATACCTACATAATTAACCATGTAAAGCACAAGAACAAGCCTGCAAACACAGGAATGTTTTTACATTAAACAGCAGGATGTTCTTCATCCATCTTCTTCCTCTGACAGCTTTTTATAAAACCTGGTGACTCATCCTCTGCAGAAACATCAACAGTTGCATAACAAACCAGAACCCACTCCTCTCACACGTTAAAATGAGGCTGCAAACGCAAATTATGATTAAACACTTCTGTTTACCTTTCATCTGAAAGTAAAAAAAAGGATGTGTGGGTGTTCATATTTTATGTGTCAAATTGTAAATAAATTATTTGCAGATATATTCATGAGACTTGAGCAACAGAGGAGTTTTCTCCTCCTGAGTGAACGTTTTGACCACATCTCTGAGGAGTTTATTTTGCATTTTCTTGCCATTGAACAGAAGAAAAACATTTCCACATCAGCTCGAATCGGGAAGTCTGAATGAAACCTAGCAGCTTTCTCTCAGCGTTTCATTCAACAGCAACTGACAAGAAACGCATGCAGAGAAACACTCGACTGACCAATTCCTCCATCCGTCTGATTCATCTGCTGACAAAAGATGAACAAACCGTCTCCACGTGATTGTTAAGATAAGTCACTTCCACGCCGTATGCATCTATTCAAACAGTTTACAAAGCGTACCATTTCATAGCTTCTCCATATTTAAAACAACAAGAAAAAAAAAAATCACATTCAAAGCCTGATTTATTTTCTTCAAGTGAGATTTCACGTGTCAGATTTGAAACTAAACAGCTCAAACTTCCAAATTCACACAAAGAGATCGGTCGTTGGCACCATATACTCAGATCACAGATAATGAGCATCTCCAGGCTTGAACTTCCTGTTGTGTAAACCAGTTCTAGCTTAAATACAAAGAAAAACAAAACAAACAAGCGCATATATGGTCAGCTCTAAGTTGCTTTCAGAAAACAAACTGTCTGCTGTGGTTTAAGAGCTCTGACCTTAATACTTATTGTCAGAAAATGTACTTAAGAGCCTTACATGACAAATCAAATCATATATTGAAGACAGTGTTCATCAATAAATCAACACCAGAAATCAGTAGCTTTAGTTCGTCTGTACGTGTAGCTGACTTTCAATTCACAGAACAAATATTTAACACATTTAAGCTTCAATTATTACAAATTTCAGTCAACTATGAGACAAATAAACTGGGTTTGTTTGGAAAATGCAACACTAAATCCTGGGGGGATTGTTTGTTTACGCAACTTTTCAGATCAACTCGGATGAACTTTATTTGTTTGATTTAGATTGACGAGATGTTCAATAACCTGATAACATGAAGTTGTTTTATTGCTCAATACTTTTGTGTCACTTGGTTTGACCCCAGGTTAATGTGGGGAAGTGATTAAACAAGGAAAAAAAGACAGATTGATACTAATTGTTCCAACGTGGAACAATGAGGAAACCATCCGTCAGTTCTTGGCAGCTGTGCATTCCTCAACGCTCAACAGGGACCCGTTTGAAGAAGTGGACCAACCGAACTGTACAAAACCCCAAAATCAGACCCGGTGCTGTGAACGGTTAGAGTGCGTGTTCGCCTCCTTTGAACCTAAACCCTGCCTTCCTCCTCTCGCTGTCGTTCTCCGCTCAGCTGATCAGCATTTCCTCATCTGAGCTTCACTTCCCCATTAAAGGACTGACCTCACACAAAACTACTATTTAAGGCAAAAAAAAAATAATACACGACGGGGGGTGGGGACGGGCTGCAGGGTGTCTGCAGACACACGCAGACATGCACGAGGATCTCCCAACGAGCACAGCAATACAGGAAATGATCCACCCCACCCCAGGGCCGGCAGATAACTTCACCGTGTCGTGAAGCTGATCTCTGAGTCATTTCCTCTGAAGCCGTTTTCTGTCTTTGTTGCAGCTCAATTCAACTGCAGCTACAAAAATATCCAATATTATTCAGAGCTGCACTGCTAATGGGTCAGATTTTGTTCAAATGAACCAAACATGCAATGTTCAAAATAAACAAAAAGTCACTTTTTGTTGTTTGATATAAGATTTCTTCAGCATCCTGGCAGTTTACCTCCAGCTGCTCTCCAACCGCAACTGATAAAACTAATCAATCTCATTACAGTACTTTATTCCTGTTTACTGTTTTATAAATCTGTTTATAAACAACAATAAAGTGTCTTCTTCCAGCTTCAACTTCTCACATTAATTCAGAAAAAACTGAGCATAGATAAATAAAACGTGTTGCAACACTAATAAAATGTAAATAAGTAATTTTCTTGTAGCTCTAAAGGCTAAAACGGCTGATTTTGCATGCAAATATAGTTTAAAAAAATTGTCTGCATGACAGAAGTATTTTAAGGTTTCTACAAACTGAAGCTATGTTTGCTTTCTGGGTGAAACCTTAATGTGCTCTGCATAAAAAAAAAATGAATATTTCTGGAAACAACAAAAAGATGACCTGACAAGATTGACATAAAAGACTCAACTCTGCATGTAGGGGGTTGTAAAATATTAAATCAGGTAACAAACATCAACTAAAAATGATGGTTGCATGAAGTCAGGTCATTTTGGTTAACGCAAGAATCCCACATACTGTAATTATAGCTCATGTTTTAAGGTGCTTAGAGTCAAAATCTGGTGTTTTAACGTGTGGATTCTGCTGAAAAACGCAATGACAAGGTGCAAAGCACATATGTGGTCTAAGCAGTTTTGGGCTTTAAGAGTCACTTAAAAACAAATCATCTCTCTTCACACTTTCAAACCCAAAGTTTAGTTTTTTTTTTTTCTTTTTTCTGCTGAGCAGCAAGCTGTAAATGAAACATTTCAGAGTTTCCAAACTTTCCTCAAAGGCTAATTTTAAAGCATCATTTAGATAAAGTTTCCGTGTTTTCAGGCATCTTATTGTAATCATTACGCCTAAACAGTTCATTAAGGTTCAAGCTTCCTTACTGTCATTTGCATCACGTGGTACATGAGGTGGAACAAAACTGTGTACTCAAAGTCCCAGTTACACCCAAAAATAGCAAAAATATAAAAGAAACAGTATACAAGGATCTAAGATACACGCTAAACACTAATAATGTAAAATATTACAGTATATTAAACAGCAGACTGAACATGACTGAAACACATTCAACACAAAAAGATGCTTTCAATTCCACAATTTCATGTTTTTATTTGCAGCACAGTAAAAATGGACAAGCAAACCTCAAAACAGGTCCCTTAACTAAACTTTAGTTTGCATCGTAAATAAAATAAGCACTAGATGAACTTGTTTTTATACTAAATATTAGAGCATTAGTGTGTTTAGCTGAGTGTGCTTTCAAATGAAAAATGGGAATCTACAAAAAAAAAAGATTAGAATATGGCTGCACAGACAGATAAGAATCAGCACAGATGTTCGTTTCAAAGCCATCTTTATATATCGTTATTGAAAGAAACTAAATTGTTCAAACTATATAACAAAAGTACGCAATTAGAGCTTAAAGCACACTTAATTAACCCTTTAGGCTGCTTCTTTAAGACACTAGACACGATAAACGCTAAGAAGCTGAGAGAAATGACGACACGCGGCTGTTTTAGCAGAAATAATATGCCAACAAGTCTTTGGGGAACATTTAACTCAGTTTATAAATATTAAATAACTGACAAGTGCAGAGCTGGATGAACCATTTAAACTTTAATCTATCCAACAGACACATTTGGACTCGCTCCAGACAACCAAGTTATTGATAAAAGTCATTTTCATTAAAGACTGAGCTGCAGTGAATGATGGACACTTTAGAAGTTCAGTGTCCTCAGATGACTTATACCTTGAGCATTTCAAATAAACACCTTAAAATGTTGATTCAGGATTAAAGTGTTATTTTACCATTTTAGCTGTCCAGAACCAGCTGTTTGTTTTATTATTATTATTTATTAACCCAAGTACAAATGAAAGCTTAACAAATTATTTAAAAAATAACTGAACGTTGATTCAGCTTATTATAACGCTGAGTTTTCTTGTTTATAGTTTATGTACGTTTTTCTGAACTTACTACTTCTGAATACTTTTACCGTTTCAGCCACTCATGTAGCAAAATGTTCAGCTCGTTCAGGACACTGCAGCTGACTTTTGGTTTCTGTAACTTTTATACTTTGATTTTTTTTTTCTTTTACTTTATTGAAACATTTTCCCCTCATAGAAGTGCATTGAGGTCACCTCAGAATGTTTTGAAACTTTTAGTCTTTTTGAAATCTTCAGTATACCAATTTAAACTGTTAGCCTTTAGCTACTGTTCAGCTAGCTTTGTTTTGTTTTATGCCAGTTTTAACTTCTGTTCTGACTGCTTTAAGTTTCAGCCACTCATCACCCAGCATTCACACTAGTCACAAAAAAATGCAGAATTTTCTACCCCCTGTAATAATTTTATATGATTATGAGCTTATTATATGATGGATGCTCTGAGCCCTCACTTCACCGTCTTCCTGTGTCCGAGCCAAGCGTTTTGAAGCAAAAAGTGGTCTTCTCTATTTAAAATAAATAAATAAATAAACTTTCACCTTTTTCACCTGAACTTAGTTCCAGATTTACTTTCTTTGAAAACTTGTTTTTAAAAGGACATCCATACTGAGAAAAAGAACACTCGCATCTTAAAATCACAAGTGTTTTGTACCTGTATAACAGTAAACCGTTTGTTTTTTTGAG